CAGGCTACCATGAACTCACATGTTCCCCACGAGATCATCCCCTGTTGCTAAGACCAGGTCAAGCAAGGCACTACCTCTGGTGGGACTAGACACCACCTGGGTTAGGTGGAGGTCCTGCACACAGTGTAGGAACCTCCATGAGCAGCTTGTTTTGGCTGTTTGCTCCTCCCAGCAGATGTCTGGGTAGTTTAGATCTTCCATGACCACCACCTCCCTTGCCTGTGTGGCGTCTGCTAGCTGCTCGGAGAATACATTGTCTAGCTCTTGATCCTGATTAGGAGGCCTGTAGTAGACCCCCACAACCAAGTCCTTTTCCCCTGGCCCCCACTGGATCCTGACCCACAATGCCTCGGCTTTCCCCTCCTCCACCCCTGCCTTAACGGTGGAAGACGTATACTGCTCCTTAACATAAAGTGCTACCCCCCCACTCTGTCGCGCCTATACAACCTATACCCCTCAATGCCTACCGCCCAGTCGTGTGTAGAATCCCACCATGTCTCAGTTAGTCCAACTAGGTCATACTGGGTGCTAGCAAGCAAGAGTGTGAGCTCCTCCTGCTTGTTCCCTGGTGTTTGTATAAAGACATTTTAGTCCCCCAAAGGGGGCTCTTAGTGCTCCTGTGCCTTGATGGCGTGTGTTCCTTTTATTACTTCCCTGGTGTGGTCTGGTGCCTTGTTTATGGCTTACCAACCCCTTAATACTTACCTGGTGCGAGTTAATCTCAACACATTTGAAAGGCCTATTAAATTTCATCTTTACGTGCTTAGAGATTAGGATGAGACCTGTTCTTGTGGGCAGCAGACTATTTGACATTTGTCTGCTCTTAGGTTCTTACACCTTCCTTAGAAACGTGGCACTGGCCACTGTCAGAAGAAAGATACTGAACTAGCTGAATCTCTGGCCTAACTCATTATGGCAGTTGCTGAGTTGTTTTGCCCTTACATAGAGTTATTAATAAGGCATTTATATTCTGAAACTCTGAATTCGCAATGATTTACACATATATATACCTTTACACATGAGTGAGTAATCCAGTAATATGTAGTGGAAATGGGCATAGTCTGGGGGAATGCATTATGCACATAGTCCCCGGACAGGCAAGAAATAACTGGCTCAGTGCAGTTTTTGACTTGCTGTCCTTTTTTTGTTCTGTTTGTTATAGTCCTTGTACTGTGTTAATATTGGAGTGTTTTGTATAAACCAAATATTCTTCATTTGCTAGCAGTTGGTAATAAAACCCCCTCAAGAATAAATGTTTAGTGCTGTATGGACTTGATCCAGAGCCACTGGGGGTCATTTGAAAGATGTGTTGTTTTCAAGAGGCTTTGGGTGAAGCCCTATATCAGAGGTTTCAAAGATACAGCCTGAGGAGCCCTGTAATCAGGTCCCTAGTTCTGCCCATGGGTCTTAGACTGGACCAGTATGCTGCCTGCAGCACATGCAGGACCAGCTCTACATGTGGGTACATGGGGCCAGTTTGGTACAAGCTGCACATGGTGTGTGGGGCTGGTCTGGAGCATATACTGCATTTGTGTGCTGGATCCAGTGTGTGGCACTGGTGTATGGGCCCAATCCAGCCCATGAACTGACCCTGCACCACTCATCTGGCCTGAAGGGCCTGAAGAATTTGACCCCCCTGCCCTGCACAAAGATTTAATCAGGTAATTTTTTTCCTGCATAAAAAAAACTTTGTTCACTCAGAATTCAGTCTATTTCAGCAAAATACAAATATCAGACACCAAGAAAGCCACAAGTTAAGACACTGTATAACAACAAGACACCACCATCCAAGCATCAGCTTACTGTGACCCTCGTCAACACTAACATCCCTTCCCGTGTGCTCAGTTTCATCACAGCAATACTGACTGAATTGGACAATTGGACTGAAAATTGCACAGCACAGCCTTAACTCCCAGCACAACCTTAACTCCCACCTTCTACTGCATTACTTAATTATAGTCTTAAGATTGGAAGTATAGCAGATAGCTTAGGGGAAGAGAGCATAACATTGGATTGCATACCCACATTTTTATTGTGTAAAAAAAAAGAAGAAGAATTTCTATACATTTTACATTCCGCCTTTAAAGTAATCAACACAGTTACACAGTATGCAGCATTAAATATATATTACATACATACATAGGTACAGTGTTAGCAAACAAAGTGACGGACAGAAAGGCTGAGGCTTTGTGAAACTGTGGTTCTGGATTTGTTGGGTTTGCTGGCTGTGGACCTGAAATGGAGAGTGTTAGTGTCAGAATGGTATTGAGCTTAATCTAAGAGAAAAGAACTAGAACTGCATAAGCCAAAAAAAAAAAAAGATTTATGTGAATTATGGAAACCTCCCATTACCTAGTCAACATGATTTATTCCAAATACAAATGTTGCAGATTGAGCCCAGTCCGGAAAGGAGAGATGACACGGTGGAAGCCTGAGATCCTTCCACCATTTAGAGCGAATGATCAGAATTCTACCCCAAACCTCTGTTAAGGAGATTGGGTGACAGTTTGTTGTCTCAAAATTATGGAAATTAAACCACGTCAGACAGGATGGTTGAATTCAGAATCTTGACAATTTTCACAAAGCCTGCTCCCCTGGTACAGCTATCTTGGCTTCAGCCAAGGGCTTTTCACTCTTTCATAATAAATTGGGAAGATTTCAGAGGAGTAAAAGGCAAGAAAGGACCCAACTCTCAGTGCAAGTTCAGGCTAGAAGGTTGCTTCTCTGCTCTTTGAACCTTAGAAAATTTCCTCCTAAATTCTGGAAGACTGAATTGGCCGTTAGGTATATCAGTGTGTAAGGATACATAAAGAAGACTGATAGGCCTCGTTATTTAGCAGGTGTTATATTATATCAGCAAAACTGGGCTTTTCACGTTGGATAATATGAATTTCCCATGTATGAAGAGTAAATGGACTTATAAAGTGAATCATACTGTATTTTTGTTGTGTTTTCAGCTAATTAAAACTTTGGAGTTTCCTAATTTTTGACATTTTGGGGGGTTGAGGAAAATCGCAATCACTTTGCTTTGATTACGCAAATGTTAATAATTGCATTTATTTTCTTAACAGCTGCATTGTAACTGGTGGCAGTGATGGAGACATTAGGATTTGGGAAAACCTGGATGATGATGACCCTAAGTCCATTAATGTGGGAGAAAAATCCTATTCATTTGCTTTGAAGGTATCATGGTATTGTCCAGTTGTTCCACGTGGAAATTGATGCATTTTTTTGCCCTGCAAACACTTCTTCCAGTACTTGACTTTATGCATGAAAATACTCCCATTAAACTCAACCTGACTGTTCATGTATATATGAAGTTAAACACAGATAGCCCCAATTCTAAAAGTAATTCCTAAAATAATTGGGGCTTTAGCAAATTCTTGATCTAATATTAAGCATACCACTAACTTGATCTAATATTAAGCATACCACTTACGTAATAAAATACACATACGCATTAACATAATAAAATACAGACCACTGCATTTGTTAAAGCTGCTTTTTTTTATTAATGTTGTCATATACACATCCTAAGTGAGATTAAAAACTAATCGCAAAAGAGATCATATTCCAGCAATGTGTTTAGATGAAGGATATTAGCAGTCAATTTAATTTTTGATATCTTCTTTAACTCCCCACTTTGAGTGACAGTCGTTCTCTAAAGAGCTATTAATGTGGAGCCACTAAGAACATTTAATTGGTTAAACATGCCTTTATAGTTTATAACTGAGTTAAAATCATTCAAGAATTTTAATGCTTTAAAAACCAAGAACATATTGATTTTTTACAACTCATTTTTCCTGCACGCAGCAGCTATACAGGACTTGTTCCTTGTGCTGAATTTCTATAATGTGTGGGTCTGTGGCTTTTTTTTCCCTTTCTTCACTTCAGGATATTCTTGCTTTTGGATTTTGAACTCCCTTAGAGAAACTGGAACTGCAATTGTCGTTTTTTTATCATACAATAAAATTTAATGGTTGGAATTTTTGTTTTGCTACATGGATCAAAAATTACATTCTGAAAATCAGTTCCTGGTAGAACTGATAACTTTGCTCCTGATTACTAGTATTTGTTTAGGGTTAGATCTTACACCTGAAATATATTTCTCTTGTGTCCTTCCTTAATTGACACCCTTCTTGAATTCTTGTTCATTTGCAAGGAATAGTACTTTAAAGTGCTGATTAAATCAATTCTAGTAACCTAACTGATCTATTTTTGGCATCGAGATGCCTATTAATGCAAGAATACTGCAAGACTAAGAAAGTTCACGTTCATATGAGTGTGGAATTGGTGATTATTTGGATATAATGATCAAAATCAGGTTACCTAATAGAACATGAGTCTTACATTATAAACCTACTCTTTCAAATCTGCATGAGCTAGGCTTGAGAATTCTTAGGGTAACTCCTTTGTTCCATAATCGTTGGTTTTGTTCTTAATAAAAGAAAGTCTGAAATACTCTCTCCATTTACTACATCTGTTCAGTAAGGGAGACTATTCCTAGCAATCTGTAATTATTCTTCAAGCGCCAGGCAGAGTTTATGGTATACAAGTTTGAAATAATAGCATATATATTTTTTAAAATATGCTGTCAATTTATTTTGTTTGTAGAATGGAAGGCTGGTTTCTGCTGTATCGAACAACACCGTTCAGATTCATACATTCCCTGAAGGGGCTCCGGATGGCATCTTGACACGTTTCACCACAAACGCAAACCATGTTGTCTTTAATACTGATGGTACTAAAATTGCTGCTGGATCCAGGTAATTTGCTTTTGTCAGGAAAAGCCGATAGCCAAACTAAATGTGGAATTTCAGGAACTTCTTTGGATATTATTTTTATTGACAAAATGATTTATTAGTCTGTATATTCTGTGCAGCATTTGCAATACTGCAGAAGGCCTTCATTGAGTGGGATGGTCAAATGGAAGAAACCTTTTAAGGAAAAATTGTATGGGGATGATGGGGACAGAGATTTCATAGCAGATATACATTTGATGTTATGAGGCAATTTATCTTCTTCAGGGACCTCAGCTGATTGTTTTCTATACCCCAGCCCTGCAGTGAGCTTGTCATAGGTACCTGGGATACCTACAAGGTACTCATTAGGGGATCTGAGCTTTGACTACTAACTCAGTATTTGGGATAGCATGTTTGTTAATAGTTCAGGCTCACCATACTGCAAATGCTCATGTAAAGGCAAAATGAAGCATGCAAATATTTGTTGTTTTGGGACCTGAGATAAATTCTGACATATATTCTGCCGTTCATCTGCAAAGTGGTAGCTAATGTGAGTGCTGGATTACCACTGCACTGGAGAAATCAGAGGTGCATAGCTTAGCTAATTTCTTAGGATAACTCTTTTCTTTTACACCAGGGGTGCTCAAATCTGGCCTACAGTACTATGTATTGTGGCCCACATGACCTGTCGTGGGTCCAGAAATTTAATGGCACCACTCCCCTGCTACCAAATTTTCTGACCCGTGGAGATTCCTGAGCCCTGCACGCTGGATAGGCACGTGATCCCAGTGCAGGGCTGGGCGAGGGTGGTGTCAGGCCTCAAGGCCCAATCATGGCAGGAGGAGGCAGTGCCAGGCCTCTGGGACCCAGTCCCAATATGCAAAGGGCAGAAGGGGGTGATGCCAGGCCGCTGGGACCCGATCCTGGTGGGAGGGTATGGTGTCAGGCCCCCAGGACCCAGTCCGGGGGAGTGGGAGGCAGGAGGCAGTGATGTTGGGCCCCCAGGACCCACTCCCAGCAGGAAGGGGCATCCCTGGGGCCCAATCCTTGTACATGGAGCAGGGAGGGGGCGGTGCCAGGCCCCAAGACCAGATCCAGCCTGTGGACTAGCTCTGCTCCACTCATTAGGCCTATAGAGCCAAAAGGTTGAGCATCACTGTTTAACATCATATATACTAGTCCTTTAACACAGGTGGTCAAACAGCATGCAGACAATTCTTTTGTTGAATAAATTCAGCCACAATGCCAGTGCTCTGTTCCCATGGAGCAGCTCTGCCCCAAGAATTGACTCTGGTTAGAGAAACTAAATCAGAGAGTAAACTGCCCTTGAGCTTATAGTTTCTTCCCTTTAACAAAAATACAGCATTGTTTCACAGACTGGATAGGACTCCCATGCTAAGAGAAATAACTTCTTAAGACTAGACCAATGCCACCTGCTGAATTCTGCTAAAACGGTATTAAAAGAGAGAGTGACAGGTATTAAATGAACAAATGTAGTCAGCAGTTCTGGGGGGCTTTTTTAATTGTTACAAATTTCTTAGTTTTTACTGGAAGCCTAATGTTTAAGTTTGATAATCACATTCATTGAAAGCAATATTCATAACACTGAATTGCCTTAAAGGGCCTGCCTGCATTGCTTCCTTTCTGGCATTTTGCATGTGCTAAGCAGGAATTAATGCATCTATCCATCTCAGAGGTAGTGTAGCACATCAGAGGCATGTCAGAGGCTCACCTGACCTATTTTAGAAGACTTGTGGTATTTGTTTAAGAAGGAAATTTCCTTTAATCTTGTATTCTATAAGCATGCTACATTAAGAGTGACATGAATGTAAATTACTTTAATTTAGAAACTGAGCCATGAATATTTTTCAGTGGGATTGAAATGCTTCTTGCAAAAGTTGTGATTGTGACCCTGAACAAAGTTAACCACAATTGGATTTAAGGTTAGATTTACTTAATGAAAGTATAGAGTGCAACTCTGGAGTAGGATTAAAATATTTTAAGGAATTGCATTAGAATCCTTTTTTAAGCAGTTCATGTCAGTCATAAATGCACTCCAAACTGACATTTGAAATTTAGCATTTCAAATTAGTTCTTTTTTATACATCAAAAAAATTAGTTCAGGTATTTTAACATTGTAAATTAGTTTTGGCATGTGTGGGGGAGTGCAGAGAAATGCTAGGTTAAGATACTATTATGTTGGCTAGCAGTTTTAAAGCCAGCAGTATGCTTAATTATAGGCTAGATAATGCATTTTATGCACCAAATTCCTGAAAGTTCTTTATAAAGAATTTTAGCAAATAAAGTTTTATGTGCTAAACGAGTAGCAAGTTGACATGTTAAGGGAAGCCACTGTGGTACTGATAAATAAGTATCTGCTTGTCATGAAGTGCCAAAATGCATGGTATTTGCATGTGTGTTTGTATCAAATGTCTCTATCGTGCATGCATATATGCATATGATTTAAAAAGCATCACATATGACATTTAGTCTAGAAGAAAAAAATGTTACATTTTAATATTGGTGACCTGATCTACTGTCATTGAAGTATATTGAAGATTTCGATATTCACATAAATTCCAAATTGTTGGATGCAATATCCTTCATTCTCCCCAACCTGTCCTGCAGTTTTGGAAAGCAATAAGAGAAAAATACCTGTTAACTTAAATAAAAGCAGAATTGGGTCCTGTATGCTAGTGTGTAACACAGGTAGGTTAATAGAGATATTGTTTTCATTGATAGTGATTTTATGGTCAAAATTGTGGAGGTGACGGACTGCAGCCAGCAGAAATCATTCCGAGGACATGATGCCCCCGTGTTAAGCCTTTCTTTTGACCCCAAAGAGGCTTTTCTGGTAAAACATTTTGCAGTGTTTTTTCTCCACTTCATTGTTTCTCTCTCCAGAAGTTACTCTTTTCTGTTTCTTAAAGGAACATTAATGATAGAAAGATCTCCACACAGAGAAGGAATTTATTTATTTCATTTGGCTTTACTGAATATGGCCCAGCAGTAAAACTATGAATGTCGCACCGGCTCTAGTGGGGAGGCTAGAACTTCAGCTGTTATTTTCCAGCAGCTATTTTCTATTTCGGATTCTTAGGCCAGCCCTGACTTCTGACTTCACCACCATAACTTAAAAGTAAATGTTTGTGGATCATTTTTACATCTTATGTAAGTACTTGCATAATCATTTAAGTATGGAGAACTTGTAAATACAGCGATTTTGAACAACCAAGAATTATACAATCTCAAATGAGTATTTATGTTTAATTTAATATCAAAAAGAAACTTATAAACAATCTAGGCAGCTTGATTAAAGGCTCTTCTAATAGTATATATTGCTGTTCTTAAATTTCTAATTGTAACATTAGTTTTTCAATGTTTATTACTACTTGATAATGACTTTCTCTTTTGCAGGCATCAGCAAGCTGTGATGGGTCTGTCAGAGTATGGAAAATCTCAGATCAGGTAAACTGCAGTCTAACTCAGATGTTACCTTGAGTAGTTCACAAAAGCGTAACCACAGTAAAATCTTGTGTCTTGATGTGTCAGCATTTGCGTGCTGGTAATAAATGGACAAGCAAAATATAAATCCCAAGGCTGAGGAAAGGATAACTGTACATTGGAACAGCTGGGACTTCACCTGGAGTGTAAAGGGAGATGAGTTAGGTTTCTAAAAGATACACTTTAATTGGGAGATATTCTCTGATATATATGTAATGGAGGCAGGTGGCTGGTTGATTGTGGCTTGTCCCTTCTGGCCTTGGAAGCTCTGACTCTCTCTGTTCATCCCTTTCTTTCTAAGACAGTGGGAAAACATGATTGCCTGCATTGCCCTCAATATGTTTGTAAAATTGGCAACTCTTGTTGAATACAATTGCTGTGTCCAAATCTCTTGTTTCAGGGCTTCAGGCAGTTGTATGCAGGTGTGAAGGTGCAACACTTTTCCAAATGACATTTTGGTTTTTTGGTTCCTTTTCCCCCCCTTTTTTTTAACCAAGCATCAAAGATTCTCTTTGGTTTGCAGGGTTGAACACTATACATAGGGACTAATATTCTGAAGCAGTACAAAAAATGTTCCTGCTAGATGCCTGGTGGGTGTGCCTTGAACCCAGGGGTAGCATTAAAGCGAATGTCCAATTTGAAGTCAGGGAGAATTTTTTTTCCCTAGGCCAGATCAGTAGAGACCTCAGGGTTTCTGTTTCTCAAGCACCACGCTGTGTGGTTCACTCTGATCATCTGGGCATCTTGCAGAGGCAAATTATTTGCCCTCCTTTTCAATGGCCATGGATATTAGTGGCATTATGTTCTCTTCTGTTCTCTTCCTGTACCAAATCACTGCTTAGTCTCCCAATGCTTTAAGTGTTTGAATGTATTTTAAGTCCTTGGGCTCAATACAGGGGGTACTTTGGTATAATTTCATTAGTGATATACAAAAGGTTTGACATGGGGATGTAGTGGTCCCTTCTAGCTTTAAAACTCTATGAAACTTAATTTATAGATTTAATACTATCAGAGTCTATACTAGTTATGCAAAGTGGGGCCAAGTAATATAGAGTTATAAATGCAGGCAGAATTATTTCTGTATGTGTCCCATTGACACGAGTGGGATTTGCCATATGCTGCAGACTGAATTTTAAACTCATACTTTACACTTAAATTGTGAAACCAAGCATTAGAAGCTGGATACCTGAATGCCTTTTGTATAGGTGTGCTAACACTTTAATATTTGGTGCAGTTAGGGAAACAATGTCCTGAGAATGAAGGTATGAAATGCATTTTAATGTATGTGCTGGCACATTTGGACACAGTGCTCAGGCCAAACCTGGGGTGTATTATCCAACCCTCTTGAAATCAGCTTGGCTTTACAATGGGTAAATCAGCCAGAATTTTGTCCCTACAGCTGAGATTTCTGATCCATTTTTGAGCTATATGTGATTAAAAATGAAATTTTTACATTTGTTCTGAGATCTTCAGCCAAATTTTAATAAATAGCTTTTTTTTTTAAGTGTGTGTGTGTATAGATAGATGGATAGATAAATGGATAGGTAGGTTGATTGATTGATTGTTTGATTGATTTTAAGTCACCATTTTCCAGGTTGTTATAGTAGTAAAAAGACAGGTTTACTCTCATATTTAAGTGAGAAATGTAACAAGACTTTTTGCAATTGAAGAATCTTTACCTCCTTTCCTTTAAAGACTTGGTTTTAAACAGTACAATGGGAATTTCACAGACCTAGAGAACTAGTGTGAGTATTTTGTTTTCAGATGTGTGAGACAAGCTGGCCCCTGCTGCAGAAGTGTAACGATGTGGTAAATGCTAAGTCAATATGTAGGCTTGCCTGGCAGCCAAAGAGTGGGAAGGTAAGTGAAGTACCGTTCTGAGCCATATTTTAATCCTCTCTCCAGGATCAAATTTAAACCAGACAAATCCAAATCCCAGTGCCAAGGAATAAGAAAAGCATTTTGAATGAAACTGAAGAAAAATCTAAACCCAGAAAGCAATGTTTGTTCAAGTATTGTATATGCAGGGCTAAAGCCAGTCTGGCAGAGTTCCAGCTATCAGCTAGATGCAATGTTGCATGAGCAAAATAGGCCGAAGAGGAAGGAGTGCTGTAGATGGCAGAATAACTCCTTGGATCATTAAGAAGTATCCAACCAGTTCAGTCTCTCTTTAAATTAAGTAAAATTTGCTTTGCAAATCATTCTTAGTCTATAAACATTCCCCCTCACTAATAACTTGCTGAGTTTCAAATGAATAATAAAACTATATAATGGAATGGTCAATTTATTTGTAATGTGAAATACATCCCACCATGCACAAAGAAGTAGTAAAGAGGCTTTGAACAGGGAAATAATGAAAATTAGAGGCATAGAAAAGTTCCTTACTGGTTTCAATTCTAGTGTAGGATCAGCAGCAATGGTTTTGCAGCACAGGTATACTGTATTCCAGCCTGTGGTGTTCTCAGTGACCTCTTCAAAACCTCCCTAAACAGTTCCCTCCATCTCATCTTTTTTGAAACACTCTCCGAAATGTCCTGGCCCATGCTCACTTGCCTAGTGCTATCATGAGATGCAGAAGCCCTTGAATTGTTTTTCTTTGCAAGAGTGAATGTCCCCAGCAGCACATTAGGTTTTCAGGTTTCAGACAATAGTATAACTGCAACAGTCTGATTCTTCTGCCAGTCCTTATTGCTATTTTTTCAGATATAAGGTAAAAAGTACTTTTAACAGCACTGTGTTATGGGATAACTGGGAATAACTCTGTGTTTTATGGTAATAGAGTCAGGTGAATCTAGTGTAGAAATCCAATCGAAGATTTGTATAAAAATATTAATCTGATCAAAAGTTTGATCGGTAAGAACTTTTGAGGGGCATTGTTGGAAATGTTATTCAGAGGCAGTTGAAAACTATTTACATGTTATTCACTGTTTCATAGGTAGAGGGTTTTTTTTTGATCTTTCATAGACAGCTGTCAGCTTCTCTCTTCTGCCAGAAATAAATGCAGATTAAACCATAAACAGATGTGCTCCAGTATGTTTGCTTATGGTTCCTTAATTTTCAACATAATTGAAGAGCATTTTGGCTTTCTTTATTTTCACAGTCATCAGTGTTGGGATGCTAATTAAAAGAGGTTAATTAAATACTGTGACAGACTTGGTTGTTGTGGCAGTCACAACTATAATACTGGTTTTGAAAAACGGAACTAGGCAGCTTGTTTGCTGCTGTAATTAACTGAGGAAATTAAATTAAATGAAAACAATCGCTTTTAAAAAAAAAAGGCAAAGTCCTAAACAAAGTATGCTTTATTTTTCCTGAGCAGTTACTAGCAGTTCCGGTAGATAAAGTTGTTAAACTGTACAGAAGAAACACCTGGGAGAATCAATGTGATCTTTCTGATAATTTCATCACTCAGGTATGTGCCTTAAACTTGAGGCTTACAAACTTTTCTTAGGGTGAATTGTAACTGGCAAGAAATTCTTGCAGAGTTCTTCTAATCTAATTGCTTAGACCAGGGTGCTCAACCTCCAGTCTGCAGGCCAAATATGGCCCACGAAGCCATAGCATCTGGCCCCCAGAGCTCCCCAGGAGTCAGAAAATTTGGAGGCAGTGGAGCAGTGGCAGTTAATGCTGCCACCCCTCCCCACCTGCCAAGTCCCAAAGCATGCATAGTGAGTCCAAGCCAGACCGTGCCCTCTTCCCCACCCCTGCACTGCCAGCTTGGGGCTGGGTCTTGCCTCCTTCCCCCCAATGGGCCAGTCCATGCCCTCTTCCCGCTTGTGGCTGGTTTGGGGATGGGATGCCCCCTCCCCGTTCTCCTCCATGCAGCTGAATGGGGTCCCTCTACACCTGACCTGGGACCTCCAGCCAGATCCAGGCCATAGACCGACTGGGCACCTCCTATTAGCTCACCAGGCAAAAAGGTTGACTACCACTAACTTAAGCACATTTCCTGTTCATTTGCAGTCAGAAGAAAGTCAGATTTTGTTCACCTTCCTACAGCACACAGTGACTGAAAATACATACTCTGAATTCAAAAGAACAGAAAACATGCTGGTTTTTAAAGAGTGCCTGTCACAGGAGGATAAATATCCCTGTCGCACTGATGGACATAGTTTGCTAAATGTTCTTACTTGTTTTCAGAGATGTCCATATTTAATTCTACAGGTCCGAAAACATTGTCAGTGCTCAATCAGTAATGTCTGCTTTCTCTCTAGACCCTAAATGTGGTTATCTGGTCTCCTTGTGGACAGTACCTGGCAGCTGGAAGTGTTGATGGGTGCATAGCAGTTTGGAATGTGGACACAAGGCAGTGCATGGAGAGGTAGCTATTGTCATCCTATAAACTGTATAAAGATGTTTGTCTGTTAATACAAGTTGAATTTCATTCCATCTCTAACCTATCTACAGATTGCCATTTTAAAGAAATAATTAAGTTGCTTTTTGAACTAAAAAGTTACTTCAATTAAAAATGAAATCCCTTCACTGGGAGCAGCACAGGAGGTGTCAGACTTAAATTAATGACTCCCTTTACATGGGCCCCCACTGAGCATGGAGCCCCTGAACCTCGTACTTGAGGGAGCTAAGTGTAGACACTGCTACATCTTTTCACCCGGTCTAGAACAGCTTCTTTTAGAGAGATTGCAGAGTAGGTAGAGTGGTGACAGTCCTGCAGCCTTACCCCTCCAAAATAGATACAGACATGTGTCCTCTAAGGCAGTGGTGCTAAACCCCTCTGGCCCCACAGATTGGATGAGTGGTTTGAGGTTGGTTTGTGGGTCAGAGGCCATGCATAGGGTTGGTCCACAGGCCTGATCCCACACAGAGTCAGTCCATGAGCCTGGTCTCACGCAGGGTTTGTCCGCGGGTGCTATCTGGCACAGCCTCATGTGCTAGATCTAGCTGGAGCCTGACCCCATGCACTGGCCTGCCTGATCTGGTGTGCCAAATCTGGCCACAGAGCGACCGCATGTTGGTGCAATGCAGTTCATGGGGTCATGTCATGGAGCTCCCCACAGGTCCAGAAGTTTGGCAGGGGTATGGTGGCAGTTGCTGCAGCTTGGGGAGCAGTTAACACTACTACCTGTCTGGCTGTTGGGGGACATGAAGTATTGCCCTTTTCTATCATCCATAGCAGAGTTATAGGTGTACACAGCACTATAAGAAACTTAAATAAAATTACTGGGATACTTGAAACTTTGAGACCTACTGCTCCAGCCCCCTCTGAGGCAGAGTGATTTCCCTTCCAATGATTTCCCTGAGGCAGAGCCCTGAATGAAGTGTTATGACTAAATACCATAATCTAGCTGGGAGTTTTTAAAGAGGATATAGTTTATTACTAATTTTCATCTTTTGGGTTGATAAAGGAGTATTGTTGACAGACTCTGCAGGGAGACTAGATCCCAGCCTTCTGAAATAACAAGAACAGTCATAGTGATGATACATTTCCTGAAGATCAGGAAAATATATTTGTTGGAGAAGCAACCACTGATTCTCCCTTACCCTAGAAGAGAAAGGAAAGAGCTAGATTGGATTTTGCCAGGTTAATTAAAGTAGTACAGGCACTCCTCACTTAACAACCGAGTTCCGTTCCTGCGACTAGGTCGTTAAGCGAATTGGTCGATAAGCGAGGAGCCACCCCTTGATACTGCGTGCCTTGGCTTGAGATGCCGCGCTGCCGTTTCCACGACCAGAGTTCTCGTACTTACAACCAGTTCTCGCTGGTCGTAAGTCCGCGCGGTCGTTAAACAGGTAGGTCGCTAAGTGAGGAGTACCTGTATCTCTGCTACAGGAGTATGACAAAGAGCAAAAGAAACAGGAAGGATTTTTGCATGTGAATAATTCAGATTAAGAACATGATTATTACTTCAAGGGCATAAAAGGAGCCAAAGGAGGATTATATGCAAATACAACATCGCTCTGACATGATTATATGCAAATGATTCATAAAAGAACTTTTAAGTTGAGAGCAAAGGGGGGAAAAGGGGGAAGGAGGCTTAATCCATTTGGGTACCACAGGGCGCATCTACACAAGACACTTAATGGCAGAAGACTAATTCTGCTGCGCATTAGCATGGCTAGCAAAAACCGTTCTAATGTGCTAATGCACAGTAGATTTAGTCTAATGTTCATTCATTAATGTCACCAAAAAAGCATTTGTTTGCACTAATCTACAGTAGCACCAATTATGACACATTAAGTTAGCATCTCTTATTACAGGTGCTAAACTTAATGCGCCATAATTACGGTGCATTAATGAATGTGTAGACATGCCCATAGAGACTAGTTAGTCAAATGTGATTCAAAATAGCAACTGTATCCTTGTATAACTGGACAGTTCAGGAGGATGTTCAGGAAGATTCTCATGTTTTGTAGGAAATGACTGTTTATTATCGCAGTTCTGATTTGTTAATTGTTTTAAAATTCAAATTGATTTTCTCCACAGAAAAAGGAAATAAAACCTTTTTTAAGTAATATAATAAGAACTTCTGTTAAATCTGTCTCTTGATTCTGTAGGTGGTCCTTTTATCAACATCTTATTTTATAGTATCAACAAGAGCTACAACTTTGCAGGGTAAGCCCCTTGAAAATTACTGCCTTGAGAAGCTTACAAAATGAAGTACCTGTGATGTTTGTGTTCTTCTTTTTAGGATAAAACATGAGAAAAGTTACACAATTTGTGGTCTGGCCTGGCATCCCAAGTATGGGCAAATAGCTTATACAGACACTGAAGGAAATCTGGGACTGATTGAAAATGTTTGTGATAAAGATGGAAAGAAATTGAGTGCCAAGGTAGTGCTGTTTATTTTTGCCTTGCCTGTATTAATTAATACAGTGGTGCCTTTTTGATGCACTGCATTTAGTGGATCAAAACCAAAAAAACTGTACACTTTGGGTACTGATCAATTTAAGTGCTTCAGTGTAAGGTTCAGAAATACGTTCCCTAATGATTATTTCCTGGCTTCAGGTCCCTTAAGGTTCAATTCAGTGTTTAAGGTTCAATTTAAGGTTCAGAAATACGCTCCCTAATGATTATTTCCTGGCTTCAGGTCCCCAGTACAGTGACAAAGGAGTACAGTGATCTTTTTGATGAAGATGACAATGATTTCTTAAATGGAGACTTGACTGAGCTACAGTCATCTCCAAAGGTCACAGCTAATGAGGAAGATGATGATGTTGACCTCATGCTGGCCTCAGGCCGTCCTAGACACCGAGGGACAATACTAGAGGATGATGAGAGTTCACTAGGTACAGTACAAAACGGGTTCCTACAGCTCTCTATAGCCTGGGGTTTTCTGGAGGGGGCAGGCGGGAGTGCAGTGGGGATGGCTTATAACCTCTGCCAAGGGTGCCCTGTGTTTTATCATGCCACACAACTCAACATGCTGTTTTCCATTTCACATGCCATCGCCATTCGCTAATATTAGAATGTTTTATCTTCTAAGATACTGCTGTAATGAAAGTCAATTCCAATCTTGAAGGGGAGGAGGATGACCAGGCTGACGGCCTTTCGGTGCTGCCAGTGTCATCCACACAAAGACCTTTCTATGATGGGCCAATGCCAACACCCCAGCAGAAACCATTCCAGTCTGGGTCTACCCCTGTACACCTCACGCACCGCTTCATGGTAGGTCTCTTACTTATACCCGTGGCTACGTTGCTTGATGTGATGACTGCTTCCCTAATTATTGCCACTACTGTGATTTGTCTAAGACTAAAATAAGCTTGTAAGAGTATATCATAGGGACAAACTTTGAAGTCTGACATCATAACTCTGGAGCCAAATGGTAATTACTTTAGTCCTGTAAATTTTAATGTGGTTTTGTAGAGGTGAGTAGGCATCATTACTTATAGTTTACACATTGAGGGAGTTAGCTACATAGAGACATAAGTGACTTACCTGCGTTTGCATAATAAGTTAAGAATTTCTATTTTTATTAATTTGTATGTACACAAGATAATTAAGTCTGAGAAAATTAGGGGATGCCACCTGTCCCCCTACTATTGCATTTTCATAAAATACTCTTAAGCGTATCCTTTTCAACAGAAGTTTTGATTCAGTAGCCATTTTTGTGCTTTTCAAGTTATTTTTTTTTATCTTATGGATGTCTTGTAAACATGTTCCACTGTTTCAAGGACATTACTCTTCTGCCTTAATCCATCCTTCATTTTACAGAGATAGAATATTATGCAAATGAGGGTAGGAATGTACATTTTTTTAATCTGGTATGATTTTTGCAGGCGAAAATCAGTTTATTTTGCTGCCAATTTTTTTCTTTAAGCCTTAATAATTTAACAATCTTGGTGTTAGCAGTTTAAATTGCTTCCTTGGAGTTGACTTTTTTTACAGTCTTGACTTTTTTTTTCTTGTAGGTATGGAACTCTATTGGTATTATTCGGTGTTACAACGACGAGCAAGATAATGCTATAGATGTGGAATTTCATGATACCTCCATACATCATGCCACACACGTACCAAATTCTCTGAATCACACTATGGCCGATCTCTCCAGCGAAGCTATTTTGTTGGCCAGCGAGAGCACAGAGGAACTAGCCAGGTAAAGCTGTTTCCTACTGCATGGACTCTGCATTCAGGAAGATTTTCACATCCTTTCACTATGTAGATTTGAAGAGATTCCTAATACTTGATGCAGGACAGGCAGCTTTGCTTTAGTTGTTGTTAGAAGTTCTCCTGCCTTTCCAAATATGTGCTGAAAAGTTTCATCCAAGAGAAACTGTCCATAAAAAGGATGGAATTCAGGCTCTCGATTCATTAATGAATGATGAAGTACAGGTGGCTAAATTATGCCCTTTTTTCTCTCTGCATTTTGAGGGGTGCAGGTAGAAAACTGTTGTAGCTGAGCAGAGGCACAATTAAAGGAATGACTAGACTTGTGCAGTGTTAGGCTTCTTACCCATACAAGGTGCCTATGTTCTTTACCTATGATTACCTATGCAAGATACAGTCCATGCTATCTCAAAGCAGCTGGGAGCCTTGCATTTAAGGAGCAATGGAAGCAGTGCTGTATCTCTGTATGTCTGTACAAGGGCAGAAGGATCTTCCATTTTATTTTTCCACTCAGTACACTCAAACCTGACAACATAACCCTTGATATTCAAAATGTTGCCAAGATCTCCTGAGCTCTGACAAACTCAAATTGCTTTTGAAAAAGCTTCCAGGTATGTTGCTGACCTGGGATGCTTATAGACAGACTTACTTCTTAGAGTTTTTTCTAGAGTTTAAATGTAATAGGACCAGAGCCTGACTCTGTCATTAGCTTTTGCCATACTGGAAATCCACTCTGGAATGACAAATGGAAATGTCATGGACATTTATGGTTAATGGGCATGAGGCTCATACCCCAACCCAACGGGAGCAACCTTTTTGGTAGTTGTGCCACACATTAGCACCACACCCTCCATGAGTGCCACTCCAATCTTTTTCCCTTGTCAGATCTGCTGCTCTGCTTTCTGCCCTCTCCCCAATCTGCCATATGCCCCACACAGAGGATAATTATATCAGATTAGCCACCCCTGCTCCCACCAATATGTAGCTCTAACTGGGTAGACCTGAAAGACGCAAAGAGTCTATCTCTTTCTTCCCCTCCTTCCTCCTTTTCTTTAAGATTCTACATAATTCTTCAGCCCAACGAACTCTCCAAACTGAAGTTTTTAAGTCACTTGTGCCTGTCTGCCCTTCTCTTAAAAGCAAATATTCCCAAATTTTAAAAACTAAAAATGTTAAATTCTGGCTGTGATGAGATTCGTAAGCCTTGATTTGTCTGCATTTGGCACCCGTTAACAGTAACTGGAGTTGTTGCTGTGCATATCTGAAAACTCTGCCCTTTGACCTCTAATCAGACTCTGCCGCACACTTCTGTAGAGTTTGGTCTCCAAAGACATGGGGTGAGCACCATAACCAGTCTGTGTACAAGAGGGTTACAAATGGTCATTTACAGCTTTGTTAAGCTGCAGATATCTTGCTGTATTTGTGCTGTAGTTGCAGATTGTAGTAGCCGAGACTTATGCGCTAATTAAACTTACTTAATGCAGTCTATATAGTAAGTCTTATGGGATATACAGATACAGATGTTAACTTGTTTTTGTTTTTATTCCCTCATCTTTAGCAAGCTACACTGCATTCATTTTAGCTCCTGGGATTCAAGCAAGGAATGGACAGTAGATATGCCAAAAGATGAAGATATTGAAGCTATTTGTTTAGGTCAAGGCTGGGCTGCGTGTGCCACCAGTGCCCTGCTAACTCGTGTGTTTACAATTGGTGGAGTTCAGAAAGAGATCTTCAGTCTCCCTGGTCCAGTGGTGTCAATGGCAGGACACGGAGAACAGCTTATGGTCATTTATCACAGAGGTAGTTTCCCCTTCCTACCTTATGTTGGTACCTTGTTCACTGCATGTGGTAGCCAGCCTGATTTTCTTCCCCTTACTATTCACTTCCCACTTCGGTCTGCTTTTACTGTAGCAATCCCCAAAAAGTTTTTAGCATCAAACAATAAACGCCCACATTTTCAAGCAGGAGAGGCTTAGGTCTGACATCCATATAAAATGATCTTCATAGGTATTAAGAATTCACAGCTTCTACTTATTTTGCTTATAAGGAACTGTAGATGCTCCCCCCTGCCAAAACCATGATTTTTAGGCTATAAATTTGCAGATATTGGCTTAATTGCACAACTATGCACATTTATCACTTAAAAGTAGTGTGAATTAAAAAGAGGAACGTGCCACCTTCCTAGATAGGAACAAAAGAATTACTTGGGTAGTTGGCTCAGAATGGAAGAGAGTATTGTAACTGTAAGAAACCCAGAGATCCAGCCTGGTGCTTAGTTTTTCAGTAGAAGGTTGTTCACATCTCTTTGTAAGTGCTGTAGCGTGAGAGCATGATTGGACTCTTGGTTATTTGACCTAGAAGTTCAAGCATTGATTTTTTTATTAGAACAGCTTAAGTAAATGTTTGATTTAAGACTTGCATTGAAAATGAAGAGGGGGATGCATTTTATAAGACTGTCAAATTAGGTATAACATTATTTTTTTATACAATTCAGTCACTGGCCCTGACCTTTTCTTGCTAGGTACTGGCTTTGATGGGGACCAGTGCCTCGGAGTACAGTTGATGGAGCTTGGGAAAAGGAAGAAACAAGTTTTACATGGAGACCCACTTCCTCTTGCAAGGAAATCATATCTGATGTGGGTAGGATTTTCAGCAGAAGGTAAGAGGACTTATTTATTCCTGATATAGCTCACTGGAGCTCGGCTGAGAAATCTTAGGTGAGGAGTTTTGTGGATGAGTTCATCTCTGCATTTTTTTAATATAAAGTGTTCCTGTACCTATTTGGTAAAGTCTGTTGATCATTGATCAAAAATGTGTTAATCAGAAATCTTGGTAAATTTACAACTTAAAAAATCTTAAAATGGTACAATAAACCTTGTATCAATCAGTTCTCCCTCTGTCAGTCACAAAAAAGAAGAGATTGTGATTTTGTCACTGCTTCAAGATAGACCTGTCCCAAATATCTACCCAACCCAAAACCTGAGAGAGCAATAATTTGTGAAGTCAGTTCCAAAACTGAAGTCCTCTAGTTAGGGATGTCATGCCACCAACCCCTCTTGTTTAAATCTGGAGGCTTTAAAATCAGATTCTTTAAGCCAAGGCAAAGTGTTTTTATTGAGCATAGCCAACACCTTGATTTATCCCAGACTTAAATTACACACCGTTGTAATTCTAGTTATGAAATGTTCCCGTTGGATCCCTTCTGAAAGAAGTACTTCTTGATTTATTAAAGCTGTATATTATGGGAGATCTGAATCCAAGAGGAAAGATTCCAGCTCTCAGTCTGCACACAGTGCAGAAGAGCCCTGTTGGCCATTCATGCTACTTGATCCTTAAAAGCTGGTTGGGTTCCAGCAGGACAAGACCAAGTGGGTCTTGCACTCCTTAAGGGAGAGCAGATAAACACCTCTATCAGGGAAGCAGTTATCAGCCATAACATCTTTTCTCCACCAGCATTACCTCTATTTTTCTTTGGATTGAGCCTCCCCTGTCTACCCTAATCCAGTCCCCAAGTTTGTCTGGATGCAGAAAAAGCAGAGCTACTGCACCCACCGTCTGGATCTGGTATAAAGGATATTTGTTTGCAGCTGCTAAGTGGAGAACGTTGCTGTAGCTAAATTTGGGAACTACCTGCCTGGAGCAGAAGGGTTAATTGTAAATGCTGCCATATTTGGGGAGGAAGGGAAAAAACTCCTTTTGGCTGAACTTTTAACTTCTGTGACTTATGCCGACAAACAAAGTGTTTATTTCTAAAGCCAAGACATTGAATAGATGAACATTTCAAAGGGGCTGTACTGTGAGAATAGTTAATTTTCTGTCATATTCTGCACAAGTAGTTTAAAGTTTCTGGTTAAATAATACACTTACCAGTTACTCCTAGCTGCCAGCAGGTGGCATGGTTTCCCAAGAAAACAACAGCTCCTCCGAAACATCTTGTACTTTGGAGCCTTAGGACATTACTTAATATTTGGGCGTTCCAACCATTTCGTGCTACCGCCCATAAATTCTTATCCGTATTACGGCTTGAAACACAGTTGACTACCAGAACAATGCCTCTGTTTGTTATAACTAGGAACCCCGTGTTATGTGGATTCGGAAGGAATTGTGCGGATGTTGAACAGAGGACTTGGCAACACCTGGATTCCCGTGTGCAACACAAGAGAGTACTGCAAAGGGAAATCAGATCACTACTGGGTAGTTGGCATCCATGAAAACCCCCAGCAGCTGAGGTGGGAGACTGTAAAGACATACGTCTTGTCTAGCACAGTCAGTTTGTTGCCTTTTTCCCTTCATAACAATGGAAATTAAGAATATGCTTTTACTAAAATGAATTTAAAGAAAGAAACAGCCAGTAAATGTTTTCAGAGAATGATTCAGTTATAAATGGAATTAAAACAAAAAACAAGCATTGCATTGCTAAGGTGAATACAATTTAATAAGAAATTTCTGACATGAGTGACTGATTTCAGCTTTTTAAGTTGATGAGGAGGCATTTAAATGTGACTGTGAATCACAAATGCATATCCAAATTACCAGTTGATGAAATCATGATTGTCTGAAGAGCGTTCATCTACAATTTCTTCTGCTGATTGGTTTTCCTAAAACTGCTCACGAGCTCCCAGTTCTGTACAGTGCTACATTGCTTTTTCAACGTTTCAATTATTTTGGATTGCATTTCCCCTCCAATCCCTCCATATCAGTTAGATTCTACAGCAGCACCCAGGTGACTCGATCCAATCCAGCAGACTGCTGTAGTAAAAATATTTAGCCTATAATTGTGAGAGGTACCTTTTTGAGAGGATATATGTAAAACTAAATACAAATTCCCACTGACAGTGAATTGCCTTCTGAAATATAACAACAATTTTATTTTAAGTAACTATTTATTGGGGGGGGGTTGTAAGCATCCAAACATCTTATTTTTGATTGTTGGTCTGTGGTCTTCTTTATTCAGCTAGGTATGTCTCTTGTAGGCTTTTCTACCAGTTCAGGCCCCATCAGCTTGTATGGGAAATGCAGGCTAATGGCTTGTTTTATTTTTGCCAGCAGTGCCTTACCATACAGATCAGTAGCAGAAAAAATGTAAGTGCATATGTAGAATGTCAGAGTCCTCTGCAATTTTTATTAATCGTGAATTAAAAGCAAAATATTTTTGGGCCACTGTCAAACTTCAACTCACTGTTCCTTTCTTCCTCCAAGTTGTTAAGTAACCCAGACCTTCAGGAACCTCATTAAAAATGTGCAAGGCATATCAGACTGGTTGGAAGGCTGTGAGTCATCATGAGTTTTTTCCTCCTGCTCCTCCAGGAAAAAGAGTCCTGCTCTCTGAATTACAAGGATTGCTTCATTCAAAGCCACTAGCAGTGTGATAGATAAGAAAGAGGGAGGGTTGTTGTAGAAACACCATATCCTGTAATGGCATGGATAACCAGAACATTAATGCTTCCTTGTTGGTTTTTTTTCAATCTAGTCTCTGAAACGTTGGCTTACACTGAGGCAGAAATGTTATTAACGTACAATGATGCAGCTAGAAAGATGTCCTTCTCCAAGCAGATATTTCACTTAGCTTATCTTTTTTAGAGGGTACTAGTTGAAACGCCGTGAGATGAGACAGTAACACTGCACTTAATTTAGGACTGGTACTCTAATCCAATGTGGCAATGAGAAGAGCAGTCTACAAAATTGCTCTGTGTGTGTGCGTGCATGCCTATATTCTCTTCTACCCACCCCATATACTCTGCTCCTCCTCTCCCAGCCAAAAAAAAGCAGTAGTCAAACCTGTTCAAATTTTGCAATTAACTGCAGTTTTCCTGTGGTCCTAGATTTGAAGAGAATTAGGTCAAAAGTTTCTAGAATATGCTAAATCATGTCTTAAGTGAGTTAGCCTTCACAATAATGTTATTTATCATAGAGAAGTATGGCTGGAAGGGACCTATAGAGGTCATCTAGTCCAAGCCCCGACCTGAAGCGGGATTATCCCTATCCAAACCATCCCATACAAACCATAATCTAAACTCTACATTTGCCAGACTTAAATTAATTAAAGCAGAATGGAAAGAGGAGTTTTATAGTGCTTGGTGTACGTTATGGACTTTCCATAAGCTCTCATCTCTTTTATTGGTTAAAACTAAAAAATTAGTGCCAAGGTAAATTTAACATTTATAACATACTGTTTATAAATAACCAACCTTGTTAGCAAAAAAGGAATGAGGTAGTTTCTTGGGGGGGCTGGCTTGCAGTTAGTTCTGCTGATGAATGTTAAGATGTTGAAAGCTTGGTACGTTTGTTTTGTTTCCCTTGGACAGGTGCATTCCTTGCAAAGGAGCCCGGTTCCCTCCCACGCTCCCACGTCCTGCTGTAGCGATTTTATCCTTTAAACTTCCTTACTGTCAGATTACAACAGAAAAAGGACAGATGGAGGTATGTGGACTTAGCATCATTCGAATTTGTTGATAATCCTCCATGTTCCTAATGGACAGGTGGCTGCCCCACTGTCATAAACACTAGAGAGGCCAGATGCTGAGTACTCCAAAAGACTGAACTCTTCCCTTGCTCCTTAGGTCAAGGTTGAGGTGCATTGGCAGGACAGCACAGGGAGTATTCTATTTTGTACTCTACCCTGCCCTTCCCTATGCAAAGAGTCTTACCACAAGACTGTCAATCACATTTTTCAGGAACTCTTATAAAATATTTAGCCCTGTAAGCTATTTAAGGAACCATTCTGCAAGGAAGTGGCATAGAGTCCTTGGTAACACCAGGCCATGGAGTTCTTTCAAGTTCAGTGGTTTGCACAAGCTTATTGTTGAAATAGGCTTATGTACCCAGAAGAATAAGAGCTGATCATCAATATAAAGTTACACATAAAGAAATGCTATCTCTCCTTGACCAGTCAAATCTAATCTTTGCCTGTGTTTTGTAAATGATTAACGTCTTGAGCCCCTTGTGTAAACCTTTCAAAGTGTCCAACTTCTTAGCTAGTGCTGAGCAGGTAATTTTGGAAAATCATGCTCTCTCAATGTACCTTGTTAAGCACCTCCAACTATTAGTCACCCTGTCACTTACTGGCCAGCAGATTTAACTGGTCTTGTACAACCGAATCTAATTGAAGGAAGATGTAGGAGCAAAGCATCCTTTAATATCTGTGCAAAAAGAGCTCACAGTTATGTTCTGGTTTAAACCACATTTAATCCTGTTGGCTCCAATTGGGATTCATAGGAAGAAAATCAGCACTCTGCCTCAGGCATATGGCAATCTGCCTCAGACAGAAGCTTATAAATCAGCGGTAAATGCCTTTTGCGAACTAGTCAACAGTTTTCCTCCATTCTTTGACAGTACTGATTGGATGTGGGGTCTTGTTCTTTGCCTCGTTCTTGCCATGCAGTGAAAGAACTGTGGAAAGTTGTTAATTTGGCTTGAGGGGGTTTCATAGTGAGGACTGGGTGCAGTAAGAGTGGACTGATTTAAACACAACTTTTTCTATCTGGACGCTAAACCAGGTTAGTAGCATTGCAAACCACTAACCTCTTGGCCAGCGTGCATACTAGCGCTGTGCTAAACCATTTCACTTAGACTGCCGTCTGGTTATCTATCCCTGGAGATTTTTGGAAGGGTGCCAGTATACTGTAGGGCAGTAGGAAGAGGATGATTTGAACTATTTCCTGCTG